AACAAATCACGACTGTAGAGTATCTGTCGTATCATTAATATCATCGTGTTGTTAAAAATCATGTATCCGAAATTTAATGGTGGATACATATACATGATCAGACACCCCATTACTAAAAATACAACTCAGATCTTAATTAAGATTACTACTTATTGGATACACATTTTTCAAGGGCTATATAAAAGTAATATTGGTACTACCAAATCCATGTCACGGTAACCAAAGAAAGCCTTAGAAGAACACCAGCAAACAAAAACTCTCTACAATGCTCCCTTTGATCCTTTTGCGTTGTGGCATAACATAATCAAAACTAAGATCCATTTCTTTCGGAGACAAACAATCAAGACCCACTCTGAATTAAAGTTTTCTCTGTAGCAGCTACTTTGATTTGATCTAGTTATAAATGAACAATACAAAATAATATTTGGGTTCCGGAGAATTTGTTGGCCATGGTGATGATATCTTGAGAAGAAGAGAGTAGATTAGCTATTATTGGAATGAAATTGTACGATGAAATTCTTGAATCATAAAGGAGGAGACATAATTGATCAGTGATAAATATGGGAGGGGAGAATTAAGAGATAGTGGTTGATTTGGAGTGAAAGAGCTAATTAAGCAGATAATTAATCAATCCTAGTTTTAAGGTATGTGGGTATCTAATAATCTAATTGTATCTTCAAGTAATATATTAATATATGGTATAAAATATTAAAAGTGGTAATACATGTAATTGTTTGAAAGTAAAGATAATATTAATATATATAGTAGTGATGTATGTCTAATAAGGTAGTTTATCCATAAAAATACTCACTTTTCTTTTTATGTAGAGGAATTCACCCTTTGATGGGCTAACTGTGAAGTGGGCTTAGCTTTTCCAACAAAGGCCCACAAGCCCACAGTGATACCTTCTTTTGGGATCTTTAACATTTTAAAATCTTGATAAATTCGAATTCGCATCACATAAATAAAAGATTTGATGTATCTGGAAAAGTGGGCTAGATGTATCCTTCTTCGATTAAATTTGTAGATGAAAAAGCTAAAAAAATAAATAAAAGAATCGATACGTGATGAAGTAGAAAGAAAAAAAAAGATGAAGAAGAAGATGAAAAATAACTATCTCTTCAATAACTTGCAATGATAAATCAGAAAGAGAAAAGATTTGAAATTCAAAAATAGAGTGATGGAGATAATTGATGATACATGATTTTAGGCGTGAAAAAAGGAAAAAAAATCTTGAGGTGATAGTTTATATCCGAAAAGTGAGAAATTATGAAAAAGAGGGATTTTTGTATTTTTTTGGAATGGTAGGAAATAATAGAAAATAGGATAAAAAAGGATGTGTAGTTAGGTAATTAATCCTAAATATAAATAAAATGCGTCTAAATAGAACGATACGAAGAATAGAGAATTTATTTATCAACTACTTTGAAGTTGAAGTGGATTTGATAGATATTTATATATTCTTGAAATTTGATTTCACTAATTATTAGTGTATGAAAAAAGTATACAATTAGGCTTAATTAATTTGAAAACTATAATTAAATTGATGCCGTAACGTTAACAATATGTTCATAACACACTTCCAAAAAAAAATGACTGACTCACTACAAGACAATCATTTATTGTCATCAACTTAGCTGAGATTACAAAGTAGTTATTCGATCGATATTATTGACATTTTAGTGGGCCCTACGTATCGCAAATTCGAATCAATCGGTCTGTGATTTTCAAATATTATGTTTAAGTTATAAACATCGTCAATGTAAATAATTTTATACAATATCATGTCATTCAAAAAGGATATCTACCTACCGTTTGTAGCTGCGTCTTCTTAAAATGTGAGATTTGTAATGTCGAACATAAGATATAAAGGAATTATTTTTGTCTATATGTAGCCAAATGGCATTATTTTTGTCGATTTTTTTGAATAAGGAAAATTTCAAATATATAAAGGAATCGTTTTGCACAAGGCAAAAAACAAACTGTTAAATAGGTTGAACAACAAAAAAAACAATTTCATTAGCTTTCTCTCTATTTTTGTTCAAACTCATCATTTTTTTTCTATCTCATTCTCAAAAGTTTTATATAGAGTAAAAAATAATATTTTTTGAGTCATAATTTTGTGGTGATGGAGAAAATTGAGGACAACAATTCAGATATATTTAAAATTAATTCTGAAGATGTTTCAAGTGACAAGAAATTAGGTGGCCTCAAAACCATGCCTTTTATTATTGGTATGTAATTTTATCATTTATTAATTTAGCCCTTTGGTATGGATTTTTTTTTCCTCTTGAATTAACCGTATGTTTGGTACGACAGAAGTCATATTTTCAATAAAATATGTTTCATGAAGAAATCATAATTTTCAAGAAAGGGGGAAATTAAATAACTTCCCTAGTCACTCTTGGGTGGAAGTCACTTAATTCCTTGTAGCTATCTTAATTTTTAACTTCCATAATTAATGTATAGTACTCAAAAATTTCATGAAAATAACATTATTAGATTTACAAATTTTCGTATTAATCATTAATATTTTCCACCTCCAACCAAACATCGAAATAGAATTTTGAAAATATGTATATATTTTACGTGAAACAATGATATCTGTCATACCAAACAAGCTCGTGGTGAATATTTTTAATGGATAACATTTCTGACAAGTCAATTTCTATCTTTTTTTTTAATAGTAGTGATATATTAATTTTTAACCTTTTTTTTTATGATGGCAATTGTCAGCAAATGAGGCATTGGAGAAAGTTGCCAGTGTAGGATTAATTTCAAATATGATTTTGTACTTGAAAAATGAGTATCACTTAACTAATGCTAGTGGTGCAACTATTCTTTTTTGGTGGAATGCTATGTCAAATTTCACACCAATATTTGGAGCTTTTCTTGCTGATTCTTACTTGGGAAGATTTTATGTCATTGCTTTAGGGACGTTCATCACCCTAATTGTAAGTATATATATATTCTCTAGATCTTCTTTTATTGTTATATGGGTAAATTCGATCGGTGATCATTCAGTTTTGTGTTTATAATCACATATAAATCATTTTATGTGATAAATTCGAAGTTGAATGACCAGCATGAAATTTATTACTCATATGTTAGTTGTTTGTTACTTTCATTGAAATTTATTATTTGAGGTGGATCTAGGACATATTTTGTGTGTTTGGTTGAATCAGTGATTTTTAATTCAAGTGAAGTATAAAAAAATTAGCTTGGTGCATGAAATATCTAGCTTCACGTAGGGTCTAGAGAAGAACTCACCTCAAGGTGGTGTAATGTAGTCAGTCTACATTGACACACTATTAATCAATTTGCAATTTTTGTTTCACATTTTTGACGTAAATGTTATTGACGAGTCAAATTGTAATGAATTTTTTACCAAGCATCCTTTATTTCAAATAACTGAAGTTATTTCCCAAAAATAATGAATATGTTATTTATGGCCAAACATAAACACAAACACTACTCAATCATATTGAATTTACTGACTCTATATCCTAAATTCGTCTCTGCTCGTTATCAAGTTCAAATTTAACACTATATATTATTTTGATTATAGGGAATGGTGGTACTTTGGTTAACAGCTACACTTAAAGAAGCAAGGCCACATGCTTGCAAATTAGAATTAGGAAATTGTCTAAAACCAACCATTGCTCAATTTGCATTTCTATTTTCATCATTTGCATTGATGTCTATTGGAGCTGGTGGAATTAGGCCATGTTCATTAGCATTTGGTGCTGATCAATTTGACAACCTTAAAAATCCCAACAATGGAAGGATCTTGCAAAGTTTCTTCAATTGGTAATATGCATTTAATTTATTATCATAACGTCATAAGTAATACCATGTTTGATAGTTGATTGTGCATTTTTAGAAATTTACTGAATTATTAACCACGCTACTAGAAAAATCAAGATTTCTGTTGAACACTAGTTAGAAGTTCGTTGGAAATTGCACTCATTAACGCAAATTTTTCGATGAAAAATGTTTGTCGAGAATTTTGTTGTACCATGTAAAATTACTCATGTTGTGTTACGTTTATATTGTTACTCTATATATAAAGGGTAATATAGTCTTAAAAAATAGTTTAGAGATATAACATTTTTCCAATATAAAAGGACCAAAAAAGCAAACATCTAGATTGATTAAAGATTAAATATGTTTAGTGAAATATTATACGGATCAAATCAGAATTTATCAATAATTAAGGGACAAAAATACTATTTAACCGCGCTACCATTTAATTTTCCATATATTGTATCAAGTTTTTAGAATATACAACATGTTCCCTACATAAAACCTTTAACTAAGACCGAAAAAAGCTAAAATTTGCTTGTTATATATTACAAAGACCAATAAAACTTATCAATAACTAAATGGACCAAAAAATACTATCATCCTTTTTTTTTAAAGGCGAAATGATCTGGAAGACTCATGTACTTAAATTTCGTTTGTCAGTTGACCCTGGACCCCGGAGGTCGTCCAACTGATAATGAAACCAAGTACAAAAGTTTTCCAGGTCATTTTGCCTTTTTAAAATCCTCTTTAATTTGTCATATCGTCTTTATTTTTGTTATTTATCGCGAATATTATTTTTGTGCTATTTTTTTTCCAACAGGTATTATGCAGCAGTAGGAATATCAGTGTTGATTTCAGTCACAGTCATTGTGTATATTCAGACACAATTTGGTTGGGTTGTGGGATTTGGAGTACCTGCAGGACTAATGTTTTTGGCAACAATTTTTTTCCTTTTAGGTTCAACAATATTTATTAAAATAAAAGCAAATAAAAGTTTGTTTACTAATTTTGTTCAAGTTATTGTTGTGGCATGGAAAAATAAACATCTTGCTTTGCCTCCTATGGATTCTAATGGATGGTATCATCATGATGAGAAGGGTTCAAGATCTATTTTTCCATCCAATAAACTAAGGTATGATTTTTCGATTTCGAGATTTTTCAACTGCTATAGTGACTGACTGTTATAAGGAGAAGAAAAAAGAGCCTAATATCTAAGCTTTTATTTTCTAAATATCAAATTCTAATGAAAGGAAAATCTTTTAATGTTGTGTATTAAAGTATCAAAATGTTTAGACATATTATTGGTAATTTTAGAGATTTTATTTCTATAAAAATGGTTAATTATTATGTTACTAATTATTAAAAAAGAATATAGTTGTTATTGAGAGGTAATTTTATAAACTACTATAATGATATGATTGTTAGTGTAGTTCAATATATTATAGTGAGTTCATAACATTTTTATCAAGTTGCAAATTAATACTTATTATTATTCATTTATCTATAGATTTTATTTATATAAGTAACATGATTGTGTAATTAAACTTCTCTACATATAAGTGTGTAGGTAGTGTATGTATATTTTAGGTATAATACATAAATGTCTTTTAACTTACTTTCAGCTGACATTTATGCCTTTCAATTTTGGGTGCACATAAGTAGACACTTAAACTCATATAATATTGAACAAGTAGCGTTCTACGTGATATAATACACGCAGGACGCCACGTATGACACAAATTTGACGTAAGACGAATGTGTCTATTTGTTCAATTTTATACAAGTTTAAGTGTCTACTTGTGCACACCCAAAGTTGAAGGACATAGATGTCAGTTGAAGCCAAGTTGAAGTGCACATTTATGTTTTATACCTATATTTTATATCAAATATACCTATATTATACATAATATACATACCTATATATACATGCATTGACAATATATATATATGTCGTGTATATTTTAGTCATGTTGATAAACTAGTTGGTCCAACTGTATATATCTATAACTAACTATTTTTGAAAAAAGTGCAAGTTTCATTGAATCTTGAATTGACAAGTTATTGATAACAAACTTTTTTTTTTGATAGGTTCCTAGATAAGGCATGCATAATTAGAAATCCAGAGAAAGATTTGAACCCTAATAATGGAATATCTACAAATCAATGGAATCTTTGTACAATTCAACAAGTTGAAGAATTCAAATCATTGCTCAAAGTACTTCCAATTTGGTCCACAAGCATTATGATAGCAGTAACAATAAGTCAACATGCATTTCCAGTACTACAAGCAAATACAATGGATAGACATTTATCAAAAGGTAGTAATTTCCAAATCCCAGCAAGTTCCTATGGTGCATTTGGGGTTCTCACATTGACAACATGGCTAGCCTTCTATGATCGAGTCCTTGTGCCCTGGATCTCCAGGTTCACGAGGAAACCACGAGGTCTCAGCTTCAAACAACGTATGGGGATAGGGTTGTTACTTTCCTGTGCGGCCCAGGTTGTGGCCGCACTGGTGGAAAGAGAGAGACGTTCGCGAGCCCTAGACCAGGGGCTCCCGGACCATCCACCGTCACAAGAGGACAT